CGAGCTTGGCTGTTCTGTGGCGCTCGGAAAGGGCTTTTGAGTGTGAGCTTATATGCACGTCCGGGGTTGACGTAGGTAGATGACGATGTACACGGCCAGGGTCATCCAACGCGCGCCCGTGCGCGTAGCTCAAGGGAGACGGGAGAGAAGCAATATTTCTTCTTTTGCCTTGTGGAGCTACCTTGACGTGATGCAGCTGCGAGAAGTCGATGGTCGCTGCATATGCGCAGCAGTCTTGACTGGAGACGGACCATGTGATGGGGCTTCCAAGGAAACATCGGGGCCAGAAGAACACAGCGGAGGCACCGGGGTGCGCTCCATCGAGTCATTGAGGGCTTAGGGGCGGGGATCAGCAGGTTCTGCACACGTCCCCCGCAGAAGAAGAGGCAGCCGCTTGCGCCTGGGGTCGTGACGGCGCATGGTGCTAGGGGACGGGTAGCTGGGCGCTGGGGAAGCTATGCCCTGCCCATGTCACTTGCTGCTCGCGGCTGTGAATAAAGCTGTCATGGCGCCCGGGACTTTAGGCCTGTGTCTGCGAGCGCTCTCAACTCCTACTTGCATACTACCACAGTAGATTTATATTACTGTGTTCTTGTATCTCAATCGCCGCGTTTCCCAGCCAGCCGGACGCCATGCTGTGGCTTGCACAAGCATTGTTTGCGGGCCTTGCCCACGCCCAGGTATGTTTGCACATTCTCTAATTACACACCACAGCGCCGTTGGCACTGCAAGATATTTGTTATCAAGCTGCAGAGATGCTACGCGATCTTGCGCATCTTGTTGTTGCCCTCTTCCCCTTTCTGCGCGCAGTACAATTCACCCTTGCAGCTGTGTTTACGAGCTTACGCTGATCATAAACAAGTATTCCAACAACACGGGTTCCAACGACACCAGCAGTCCATTGAACTTTGCTGAGAGTCCTCCATACTACCCCAGCCCGTACGTACAAATTTCGGCATTTCACAAGTCATTAGCCGTAGAAGTGGGCTTGACAGGTGTGGGGAAGAGCGAAGGAGCGCCGGCTCCACTAAGCTTTCACATGCGGCAGTTGCATCGCGACATGACCGAACTTCACATCTGGAACACGATTGCTGACTCGAAAATAGCTGGGCAGAGGACACCACCGGCGACTGGGCTGATGCCATTACCAAGGCAAAGGCATTTGTCAGCCAGCTTACTCTCATCGAGAAAGTGAACCTCACCACCGGAACTGGATGGCAGAGTGACGCCTGCGTTGGCAACGTTGGCGCCATCCCCCGTCTCGACTTCGACCCTCTCTGCTTGCAAGACAGCCCTCTGGGTATCCGTTTCGCCGATTACGTCTCTGCTTTCCCCGCAGGTGGCACTATCGCTGCATCATGGGACCGTGGCGAGTTCTACCGCCGCGGCTACCAGATGGGTCAGGAGCACCGCGCAAAGGGTGTCGACGTGCAACTCGGCCCTGCCATCGGTCCTCTCGGTCGCCATCCCAAGGGTGGAGTAAGTTGCTCAACTCAATTGCCTTGACATCTACTAACATCTACCCAGCGTAACTGGGAAGGTTTCTCTCCTGACCCAGTCCTTACTGGCCATGCTGTCGCCGACACCGTCCGCGGTATCCAGGACGCTGGTGTCATCGCTTGCACCAAGCACTTCATCATGAACGAGCAGGAGCACTTCCGCCAGCCCGGTAACTTCGAGGACTTTGGCTTCGTCGATGCCATCAGCTCCAACTTGGATGACAAGACTCTGCACGAGCTCTACCTGTGGCCTTTCGCCGACGCCATCCGTGCTGGAACTGGATCCATCATGTGCTCTTACAACAAGGTCAACAACTCCCAGGTCTGCCAGAACTCGTACCTCCAGAACTACATCTTGAAGGGCGAGCTTGGCTTCCAAGGTTTCATCGTCTCTGATTGGGATGCTCAGCACTCTGGTGTCTCTTCCACCCTTGCTGGTTTGGACATGACTATGCCCGGTGACACTGACTTCAACTCTGGCCAGTCCTTCTGGGGAACCAACCTGACCATCTCCATCCTCAACGGTACCGTTCCCCAGTGGCGTCTCGACGATGCGGCTGTCCGTATCATGGCAGCCTACTACTTCGTCGGCCTTGACGAGTCCATCCCTGTCAACTTCGACAGCTGGCAACGCGACACTTACGGATACGAGCACTACTACGCACAGGTTGGCAACAAGCTCGTCAACCAGCACATTGACGTTCGCATGGACCACTTCCGCTCCATTCGCCGCTCTGCTGCCAAGTCGACTGTCATGCTCAAGAACTCTGGTGTCCTTCCTCTCTCTGGAAACGAGAAGTGGACTGGTGTCTTCGGTAACGACGCTGGTGAGAACGAGTACGGTCCCAACGGATGCGCTGACCGTGGCTGTGACAACGGCACTCTGGCCATGGGCTGGGGATCTGGAACCGCCGACTTCCCTTACTTGGTCACCCCTCTCGAGTCCATCAAGCGCGAGGTCACTGACAACGGTGGTGTTGTCACTTCCGTCACCGACAACTGGGCCTACGCGCAGATCCAGGCAATGGCCAGCCAGGTTAGCCACGCTATCGTCTTTGTCAACGCCGACTCTGGTGAAGGTTACATCACCGTTGACGGTAACATGGGTGACCGCAACAACCTCACTGTCTGGCAAGACGGTGAGACTCTGATCCAGAACGTGTCGGCACTGTGCAACAACACCATTGTCGTCATCCACTCTGTCGGACCTGTCCTTGTCAACAACTTCTACGACAACGAGAACATCACTGCCATTCTCTGGGCTGGTCTTCCCGGCCAAGAGTCTGGCAACGCCATCGTCGACATCCTCTACGGCCGCCACAACCCCGGTGGCAAGCTTCCCTTCACCATTGGCAGCTCCCAGGAAGAGTACGGCCCCGATGTCACTTACGAGCCCACCAACGGCCACGGCAGCCCCCAGGACAACTTCGACGAGGGTGTCTTCATTGACTACCGCGCGTTCGACAAGAAGAACATCACTCCCATCTACGAGTTCGGTTTCGGTCTCTCCTACACCACCTTTGAGTACTCTAACATCAGTGTCACAAAGGTGCCTGCTGGCGCATACGAGCCCACTACTGGTCAGACCATCGCTGCCCCTACTCTCGGCAACTACAGCAGGAACATCGAGGAGTACCAGTTCCCCGCCAACTTCACCCGCCCGGCCACCTTCATCTACCCATACCTGAACTCGACTGACCTTGCTGAGGCGTCGCAAGACCCTGAGTACGGTGTCGACTACACGTGGCCCGAAGGTTCCACTGATGGCTCACCCCAGGCTCGCATCGCCGCCGGTGGTGCTCCCGGTGGTAACCCTCAGCTGTGGGACGTCCTCTACACTGTCGAGGCCACCATCACCAACAACGGCACCGTCGCTGGTGACGAAGTTGTTCAGTGCTACATTGCTCTCGGCGGCCCTGAGGACCCTGTAGTCCAGCTCCGCGCCTTTGACCGTCTGAGCATCCAGCCCGGCATGAGCGCTACCTTCCACGCTGACATCACCCGCCGTGACATCAGCAACTGGGACGTCGCTGCCCAGAACTGGGTCATCTCCGAGTACCCCAAGACGGTATACGTCGGTGCTAGCTCGCGCAAGTTGTTGCTTACTGCCGAGATGGACACCAGCGACTACACTTCTTAGAAGAATCGTTGAGATCTGTATTGTTTGGATAAACCATCAACAGTAATGTTCAATCCTTAATTGTGAGCTAGTCATAGCTAGTTTTATGAAGAAACGAATCTTTATAACTATTGCCTGCTGGTTTGTGCACGTGTCTTGCCTGTCAAACTTGGTGAAACCGCTACATGTACGCTTGATTGATCCCGGCAGACGGCTATGGTGCCCTATCGCGATGGATTGAGGGGTAGTGCGTATCGCGGGCCGGCTGCGCTTCGGCGTGGAGCCTCGATGACGGGCAAGAGTCAAGGAATGCGTTTACGAGGTGACTAATGTAGCTAGAGCGATCAAAATCAGACGCGTCACGGGACGAACGCTGCAAAGCTGCGATCGTTATGCAGGATGTTGACGCGGTATTCTGCGACGTTCTTCGCTCATCGTGTAGCAGCACACACAGCAAGCGAGCGTGAGTAAGCGTCCGAAGCGGCAACGATTGGCGTCGAGTTGGTGGGCCGTTGGTGCAGCCAGCAGCGATCCTGTTGGCGGCATGCGAACGGTTTTCAAGCCCGATTGCATAGCGTCATTGTTTGCTTGGCCGCGCCCGACGCGCACAGTCGGCACCTGAGCGTTTGGGGCTTCTGGGTGCGCTGGAGAAGCAATGCTCAAGGTGCGATGAATGACAGGAGGCGGGTATCATACTGCAGGCGTCCCGTTTGACAGCGGCGCAGCGTGCATGTTTGGAAGTCTGGGTCTGGGTCGCTCACGGCTGGGGGCGCGCAGCCAGCTACCGCGTTATTTTGATCACGAGTGCGCACGGATAGCATCTTGAGCCAGGACACCAAGGCGACGTAATTTGTCCCCTTCCGTGCTCCTGCGGCTCTGCTCCATTATCTCTCTATCGATAGCCACCGACTATCTAGTATCCCACGCGTCGCGCATTGTCACCGTTGTCTCGCTGCGTCCTGAGGTCATCGCCTCGCCTGCGCTAGCCACCAAGTCGCGTCGTGCTGGAATAACAAACACGCCGATACGTCGACCCTTCCGCCCACGACCGCGCGCTCTTCCACCCTTCTCGTCACCACCGCCCTGCGACGCCTGCCCCCGGCCCGCCGCCGCTCCCTGGACGACGCCTTCCAGTCGCGCGCAGTGCATTGGGAATCCAACACCGACGTTTCGCGGTAAGCAGCTCCCGTTCCGAGTGTGTCGAATCGCTTGGTGGGGCGCCTGGCTGGCTGCTCTTCGCACGTCCGTGGCTGGCTCGTCCCTCTCCCACGGTCCGCCGTCACCACCCAAAATAAATAACACACGAATGCACACACTCGCACAACTCTCGCTGATACATTCTCCTCCTCCACAGACTCGCTCGCTAGCCCCCCGCATGCACCATGTCGACTCGTAGAAGTCTTCGTTCGCGCAGAGACGCCCAGCAGCAGTCTGAACCCGACACGCCAGATGCCACGCCCTCGCGCAAGCGCAGGCGGGTGAGCAGCCCCAACACCACCAGTGTTGCGGCGAACTTGTACTCACTCGCACAGTTGAATGGCGCCGCCCAAGAGCCGCCTGCTACGGCCGCCCCCGACCCGCCCCGTACCCGCATCACAGAGTCCGTCGCTAGCAACGACTCCAACACGACACTGCCCAACGGTGGAGACGCAGAAAATCCCATGGACCCCATAGAGCGCCAGAACATCGTCATCGCCGCCCTCCGCGTGCCCGGCTATGTGCCCCACGCTGCCATCGACTATGCCAACGACCTGCAGTCGCAGCGCAACAAGGGCAAGAACATTCCGGCCTTTGCCAAGATTGCTGCCCGCGACTGGTGCTTCTTCGTTCAGGACACGCAAGTTAGAATCGGCCGTGTAGACTCGAACACACGCTCCAACCAGCAGGGCTCTCAGGCCGACCTCTCTGGGTTGCCTCCAAGTGACCCCAACCGCCAGGACTGGGGCGTGCACATTGACCTCGGACCTGAGCGCCAGATATCTCGCGTCCACGCCGAGATCAACTTTGAGGTTGACGACCAGCAGTGGTACATCACCGTGAACAGCCGCAACGGACTCAAGCTGGACGACCGCCATCTCACCAGAGGAGACAAGGCACCCCTACACTCGGGTATCTGTATCAGCATCATGAGCACTCAGATGCTGTTCCTTCTCGCCAACCAAGAGGACCACTTCCACCCCATGCTGTGGCGTCAGGTTAAGAATGAGGACGCCGCCGAGTCTGACAATGACGGCAACCCGCCGCCAAAACCCCATCAGCACGCGCATCCCAGCGGACCGACGCCCAAACGCGACCAGTACGACCCGTTCCCACCGTCTTCGCACCCTCGCAACAAACACCAATCGTCACAAGCATACTACAACCAGATGACATCTACGCCTGGATACCCACAACCCGGAACCCCCATGACCTTCCGCGGCGAAAAGGACCCGCGCAGCAAAGGCTCACCCGCTACCTTCTCTCGAGCAGTTCTACTAGAAAACGGAGACGATATTGACTACAGCTTAGACTCAACCAAAGAAATCAAGCCGCCTCACAGCTATGCCCAGCTCATCGGCCAAGCGATCCTCAGTAGCGAGGAAGAGATGCTCACGCTTGCCAACATCTACGACTACATCAAGTCCCGGTATGCCTTCTTCCGCCACACAAACAGCGGCTGGCAGAACAGCATTCGACACAATCTGTCTCTCAACAAGTCGTTTGAAAAAGTTGCGCGCCGCACCGACGAGCCTGGCAAGGGTATGAAGTGGAAGATTGCAGAGTCAGAGAAGGAAGAGTTCATCAAGAAGCAACTGCTTAACCCTCGCAAGGGCGGCGTGGCAATCGGATATCGCATAGACGGCTCAGGGCCTAGTTCGCCCGCGCTGGGCAATCCATCTCAAGCCACCGAGCGCCTTGTAGGTGCCTTGGAGCGCGACAACCGCCAAAGCCAATACCCTCCTCGCGTCAAGTCGCCTCCACGGTCCGCTACGCCCCCGCTTTCGTCGGTCCCGATGGCCACCGAATCCTACACTCCAGACCGCGGCCCACGCCCATTTGGAGGTTTCAAGCAATCGCCGACTATACGCGACCAGGATCGGTTCGTCACTCCGGCGAAGCGCCTTGTTTATGGAGCCAATGACGGCCAGGAACCTACTCACATCAAGCAGGACGAATCTCGACTGGAATCATCACCCGGTGTGGACCCCGTTAAACAGAGTGTCCCTGGTATGAAGACAGACGTCGGTAACTCACCACCAACCCTGTACTCGGACACCGGGTCGAACAACATGAATGGCAACTACGATGCGAACCGAATGAACAATGCCCTCGTCACCCCACTTGTTTCCCGCCACGCACCCCGTCTCGCACCCCCCAGCACAGCTCAAATGCCCAGCCAGTACATGGCATTCTCCAGTCCAGCACCTTTCTGGAAGTTCGTCGACCTCCCCAGCACACCTGCCAAAGCACCACTCGAGCTCAGCCCTATCAAACTACAACGTCCAGATTTCAAAGATGGCGATGACGACGACCACCCCAGCTCACCCCCTATGTTGCCGTACAACAGCGCAGAGCCCGAAGACAATGAGGATCAAGACCAAGATGCCGAGGAGAAAGGCGAAGAAGAGGAAGATGCCGGCCCAGAGAGTCCAAGTCGTACCGTCTCCAGACCCGCCAGTCGGCATATTGGAAGCCAGCGTTCCCGGTCAAATAGCAATGTCAACGGGCTTGGATTGGGTATCGTGGGCAACGGAGGGATGGTACGCGGTGCCAGCTTGACGAGCTTCGAGGAGGAGCCTGAGCCCGAGGAGGAAAGCTACGATCTTTCAAAGTATGCCGCGAATGCTTCCTTTTCTTCAGTAATGGTACAATGCTAATATTTCAACAGGGGCTTCCAGAAAATCGGCTCCTTCCACCGCAGCATGGCTCAAGCCCACGGCCTCGGCAGCATCGGCAGTCGCGCTACCGCTACACCACCACCGCATCCTCCCCATCTCGCGCGCACCAGTGTCCCTGCAAACATGTAGACTGAGTTGCAGGACGATATAGACCAACAGACGTTAGCGATATATCTTCTCCTCTCACGCTTCGGTACAGATCCTATACTACCATCTGACGACGGTGTGGGTAGTCCAAACTCTTCTGAATGAGTGAAAGTTGGATTATGACGGTTACGACACTTGCTCGTTGTTTGTTTGATTAGGTTGCATCTCGGTTTCTCGGTCCACAACACTCTGCGTATGCATGGGCTCAAGAGTGTTATTTGTCTTTTCCATTGTTGTTACTTTTCTGTCATAGCATCACTTTATCGATCGCATCACTCCGCTTATGGCGTTCTATGGGGCATTATGGCATTATGGGCCGAAAACGGGTGCGTTATGATAATGATGGTTTGTTTGGTATTCTGTTTTTTGAGTCTGCATCGGTTACAAGGGGGAGGAGTAGGATAGGGCGTGTCTGTGCAAGTGTGCGTGGAATAGTGGCTAGTGGGTAGTTTGGAGGGTGATGCATTGACGTAGTCTCAGTCAGAGAATGGAAAGCATATATCTTTTGAAAGTGGTTCCTGCTCGGATATTTGACGTGTTTACAAATATGACCATCGCGAATGGGACTGGGATGGCATGCATGACCTGTGGTTATTCTCGCTTGAATACCAGACTCCGCATGTTGCGGTTCAAAAGTCAGTAATTGAGTTGCACATGCACCACGTCACATGACAGCTTGGTCCTTCATCGATTCCTGTTCATTGGCTTTCCTCCCGACCATCTGGGGTCCGCAAGTAGACTACGCAACCGATATACACATTCCCTCTGTCCAGGCCAACGTTGCAGTCCAATCCCCTCTAGTTAATCTCCTTGTGCGGGAACCACTTGCTCGGCTTGAGGTTCTTCTCCTCAAGCGGCGCATCCAACACGCCCAATCGCCTTATCTCGCCTGCGGACGGTGCGTCGTCGCGTTTTATGTTGGCTTCGGCTTTGCGGTACGCGGCTTGGAGGGCGAGGGTACGTGCGGCCTGTTGTTGCATTGTCAGCGTTGGTGTTCTGGTCTGGTGTTGGTTGGGAGGGGGGAGGAGGGACTGTATGGGAGGTGTAATGAGGAGATAGGATGGATTGGGGGACGACAAGGGGAGGGGGTGAGGTTGGGAGGTACTTACCTCCTTCTTGTGGTGAAGGCACTCATAGTAGTCCTCAAGGACGGGTGCGCATTTTGCCTTGCCAGAGTCGTCCTCGGCGTTTGTGTTGGTCGTGTAGCATGCGAGGACTTCTTGCCAGAAGGGGAAGCAGCGGGAGGGGCCTGGTTGTTTGTGTTAGCTGATGTTTTGTCATTGTCTATCTATCAACGCTTCTTCTTGCTTCGTATGTGATAAGGGCGAGGTCGGGGAGCTTTGGGGGGTTGCGGCGCGAGCGAACGGGTCGGTCGAGGTGGGGGATTGGAGCGACGGAGCGGTTGACTGGCGGTATGCAAAGGTAGCGATTGTTCGAGAGTATGGATCCATTTCCGAGTGGTCGAGGCCGTCCGATGGGCTTGTCGGTCGTGCTGCCGGTCCACACTCATATCGTGCCCTAGGTTCAGCGCAGTCTCCGTATGACGGGGCTACTCTATGCGCCGACATTGCCTCTTGGTGCCGCGGCTCCCCATTCCTTCCATTTGTTGTCGAAATCCTTATTGCCCGTGGAGGTACTCGCATCGTATAGCCGTCATGGTCACTCTTCGCATTCGTTCTGGGTTGCCTCTTCATAGTGCGATTGCGCTCGCTCCGCTGCCTCCGCCAACCCCCAAAGCTTCCAAAATTCCCCCCCAGAAAGTGAGTTGTACGTACCACCAGCAAGTCCGTATCCTGAAGCCATTGTCGCGGTGTTTAAGTGGGGGTCTTGAGTCGCGATGTGCTGCCGCTGTGAACTCGGCCAGCTTGGGTTACGTCAGCAACGCACGGTCCTTCTGTCGCGGAGCCGGCCTGCGCTGTTCACATTCACCCTCTCTTAACTTCATACGAGGTGAAGACTAAACAGGTGCACTGCCGTCTACACCAGTATAAAAGCTAAATTAAACAAGTGCTCAAGGAAACGTAAACTTCTTGGGGGAAGGCGTTTAGCTTTACCGTACCTATCCTTCCAACGTACAATGCGTCTACATTGTCTCAGCAAGCCATGTCTGCGCCTTTTCTCTCTACGATATACTGCACATCGGTCGTAAGGAGACGAATGCCCGGTCAGAAAAGGAACTGGCAGTATGCTTGATGATCTATGGGTTTGATCCACATCCGATATGCTGTAAGCATGCATGCTTTACTCCGTAAACCGGTGAAGGTAACCCCGCCAAAGCCACAAACCTTGGCTGCATGCATCATGTCCACCTCTTCAGCTGAGATCACCAGTCTGTAACCTAATATCGTCATCCCTCAGAGTCAACACAGACCACTTTGCTGCGTACCCTTCATAGCCTCAATGCACTGACAGAGGGTTTCTTAGATAATGCTTTCGGACGGTGGGCAGCTGAGAGTCAGCACAACCTACAAACGCCTTCGCAGACTCAACGCAAGCAGCCTTCTCAATCATGTCAGACAGCGACTCAGACATGTCCGACGGCGACTTAGACATGTTCAACGGCGAAGACGTCTGCGTTGGTTGTAAACACCCGATAGTGGACGAGAATATCAAAGGCGACATCACACTGTGGGGACAGAATTTACAGGTTGATCTCGAAGAAGTCGTGGTGGGAGCAAGGTCTAGGTGTCGTAATTGCGCTGTCATCCTTGATGCTGTCAACACCTTTGTAGGGACCGAAGACCCATCTTCTATACAACGTTCATTAACCATCTGGTCTTTTCTCGATAGATATGAGGAGCATTTTCTCATTCAGCTTCACGAAGAGGTTGAGGTCGAGATTGTGCGTCGTAGTGGTATGTCAACATAGTTGCATGTAAACTCGAACTAACAATCTGTACAGACCTTCCACACAAGATTGAGTCTTCCGAATCTGAGGCCCGAAATGTCAAAGAATACCGATCGCTTTCAGATGCAACGTCTTCACATGAGACTGTTCGTGCAATCTCAGCGTGGATAACTCAATGTATTCAACACCATGAGCATTGTACACAACGACTAGCTGCCCCATTGCCAAAGAGAATCCTAGAGATCACAGCAGACCATATACTTCTTCGAGAACAACATGGCTATTCAGCCCTGTACGCTTGTCTCAGTCATTGTTGGGGGCCGAGTGGCCCAGCCGTCAAGTTAACAGCTGAAACTATCGAACGTCTGCGTGATGGCCTCGAGATATGCGATCTACCCAAGACGTTCCGAGATGCGGTGGAGATGTGTCGTCATCTAGGGATTCACTACATCTGGATTGATGCACTATGTGAGAAGTTCCGGGAGCCACTTATGTTTGGAAGGAACGAAGCTAAACAAGTGCAGGTATTCTCCAAGACAGCGAAGAGGATTGGGCAGAAGCCGCTGCCACGATGGGCGACATCTACGAGAACTCGCACATTACTATTGCAGCTACAGCTAGCGAAGATAGCAAAGGCGGTCTGTTCTCCTCGACTCGTCCCGTCATGAGACGTTTGAACAAACATCCGCACCTGTACGTCCGGGCAAGCGTTGATCGCTTTCCAAAATGGGCAGGCTCTTCTGTGCCGAAATCAATGCCACTACTGACTCGTGCTTGGGTGTACCAAGAACGAAGGCTCTCAACTCGCACCATACATTTTGGAAAATACCAGGTATACTGGGAGTGTAAAACTCAATTTGCTTCCGAGGATGCTGGCGAAGACATGACATGGAACAAAAAGGCTGACGCCTCCAGAAGTGTTGAGTATGCGGCGTGGGGAGATAAATTCATCGACTGCACCCATTGGCAAAGGATGCTGTCGGAATACACCAGCCTGCGATTGACCTACGAGAAAGATCGTCTGCCTGCTATCGCGGCCTTAGCGGACCGAATGTCAAAAGTACGAGAAGCAGACGACGTCTACATTGCAGGAGTATGGAAGAATAGTATACTCTCGGATCTATGGTGGTTCACGCATGGTGAGAAACCACGCTCTACTCGCATGGCTCCTTCCTGGTCTTGGGCATCGACGCAGAATTCCGGGGTTATGTGGGGTGATTACGCGTTCCCCGAACAGGCCAAAGTCGTCAGTCTGGAGTATACTGCCGTTGGTCCCGCTAATTTCGGCGAAGTCATGAATGCCAGCATCGTCCTGATAGTACCTGTTCTGGACTTGACTGGCATAGATGAGCTTATTCCAACCGATTTGAATGAGCTCAATTCTCCTTTTCGATTCATGGACATCTGCAAGTCAGCTCCAATCGCAGAAAGGTTACGACAGTACAGTCTGGCAATCTTTTCTACTTGGTTCTCTCCCGACTACGACTTAAGCACCACCAATCCTCCATGTATCTCTGGACGCGCCGTAAAACTCTTGGTCGTGAGACATGATACGGACATACGTGGGATTGTCCTTCAGCAAACACAGAAGACAAGCACGGAGTATGAAAGGATAGGCAATATTACAATCGGCGTGGAAACAGCGGCAAACAATGATCCAGAAAAGAAAGTGGGAGATTCGCAAAACGGCGGTGATGATTCGGAAACGACAGACGCAGAAGGGGAACAATGGACACACAGGACACTACGTTTACCACTGGTTAGTGCTGAGGAATTGGCAAGACGGAAAAAGGAGAAGCAAGAAGCAATAGACAGTCTAATACTGTCACTAATGGATAAGGTGAAGATTGTCTAAATCTCAGCTGCATAATCGATCCTGAGCTTGGACTTGCACTCTCTTTATGTTGAGGACTATGAGCAGAGATGCCGGGTCAGCTGTTCTTTCCTGGGTCGAAACGAGATCTGATCATCATCAGGATGAGCCATTACTCAGCGCCACAAGATGAAGAGCCTGTGGGTGACGCCACGCAATGAGGAAACTGAACAGATGCGCTGAAGCCTACGAAAGTATCACAGCAGAAGATGAAGATATACTACGGCAATATACTACGGCAATGTAAACGCCTAGGTTATGTCGGAGGTGGCTCTGGGGTTATTCATATTGTTCCTTGTATGGCTTGGAGCCAAGCCTTGCGACATGGGCGAAAAAGAGACAGAACGTTCAGAATCAAACAGCTTATTCGATGCTAGCTACCATATCCTCTCGCTCCACGGATGTACCCATGCAGACAAAGACGAACAACTACTGCACATACTGGCCTCTACAGGTCCAACTATAAGAAACGCAACCACCACGCCGCCGCAGTTATCATCGTCGCGCCTAGATAGCCACGTTAATCCCACGAACACGACGCAGATACCCCGCCTCCTCCGCAGTCCAATGTTTCTTCCCCGGCTGCACCCATTTCGCCTGGACACGAGCCGCCAGCTCGCTCTCCGCCTTCCTCGCCGCCTCCCATTTGGCCTTCTCCTTCTCCGCCTTCTCCTTCTCATTCAGCTTCCGCTGTTGCGACCACATCTGATCGGCATCATTCTTCTGTTTTGCGTTCGCCTCCCGCTTGGCCGTACGCTCAACGTAGTCCCGATGCTTCTGCATCTTCTCCTTGGCTTCGGTCACAGCAAGCCCGAAACGCTCGTTGTGCTCGAGGTAGGTGGCGTAATTTTCTGGATCTGGGATCTTGCCGTCAAGCTCGGCCTGAGCGAGCTTGGTCACGACTTTGCGGAAGAGGTTCTCGCCCATCGGTGTCTGGACAGTGGAAAAGGCGTCGATGTCCGAGTACTCCGGGAGACGCTCCGCGCGGATGAGGGCCCAGTACCGGTTGAAGATTCGTTGGGTGTACGCCATCATGCCGAGGTAGTCTGCGGCGCTGCATAGCTGGAGGTCTTCGTAGGCGCCCGGGGCTCCGTAGGGGCGGATCTCCTTTGCGTACTTGCTCCAGGTGGTAATATCGTTGAAGTGCTTGATCAGGTCCTGGACCATGCGCACGTCAAGTTCTGCAGAGAGCTTGATCACTGGATTTGGGCCAGCTACCATGTCCTTCTTGTCGGAGACTGCACGGAAAAGAGCGATGGGCATCTCGGCCACTGGCTTGCCCTCGCTGTCGACGATCTGTACCTTTGGTCCGGTAGCAAGGATCTTGCGGTCGGCGTGTGAGAGCTCGTAGATCTTGGCCACATCGCCCATCTTGTTCTCGGACGCCTGCATGGCTTTCTTGGAACCAGGCGCGGTCACGAAAGCAGAAGCGAGAAGGTTGGCCTTACCATTAGGGGACGGAGTGGCAGCTTTTGTATCCTTCTTGGTAGCTTGCTCCATCTGCTTGGTCAGGGGAGTCGGCGCCATCTCTGCTTTGTCGTTTGCGAAAAGATGGGAGCAATCGGTAGGATGTGGACAACTTGTTTCTGGTCTAGCAAAGTTTGGAATTTGCTAGTCGTGATACTGAGTTGGGTCCGACGCGTATACTGTTGGGTGGGTTGAGAGTTGACTCCGGTGCTGTGATGGAGAACAGCTAGGAGGAAAAAGGGGGGTTTTTTATATGGAGAAGGGGAGACTGAAGCCATAGTGAATTCAGGAGAGGCCATGGCGCTAGGCTGGCGAGGAGCTGAGGTTGTAGGCTTACTCCGTTCAGTGTGAATGAGTGAATGTACCTGCGGGCGGTGATGCATTGCTCAGGTCGGACATGATAGACGCACAGCACCATCGCTTCCGCCTGTTGTTCTTTCACCAAGGAAACGAGACGGATATTCTCGCGGCGTAGGAAGTGAATGCTGTGGCGCTGACGATGCTATAGTGAATGAGTACCTAGGTAGGTTTCGCGTATATATGAGAAGCTGAGAGATGAGCTTCAGTCAAGGGCTGAGACGTGGTTATAAGGCGAAGGTTAGCTTGACATGCGATCACGCGATGTGATATTCTCTTTGATAGCAAGTATGTTTTCTGCTACTGATGGTCTTTGTGATCAAATGTTCCCGATGTTTGTCAGTGTTGGCATAGTGGCTCGTTTGTCGACTGTTCACGTGCCAAATCTTTCATCGATTATGTATTTTCCAACTCCGACTTTATGGCTTTCACTGCTTCTGATTTCCGTTTGATGAGCGCGGTAGCCCTGTGGCAGTCGCGGTGTTGAGATGATGAATGGTTGATGGGACGGGATGCTGGGCTTGCTTGCGATTTGCGTGGGGCTGAAGGTTGGCGAGGCCGGCTGGGCAGAACATCAGTCTGCGCGCGCTGTTGCGGCGGCGTCGCCTGGTGGCCTCGCCAAACTGTGCCGCAAAAAGTGGTCACTTACCAACACCAAGGGCTCGGGTGATGCAATGTTCTATGTCGCATCGAAAGTGGGTATCGTGTTCTTGATCTACGAGGATGATCGACGCGAATGCGAAAGTCCTCGTTTGGCGGTGCGTGGCTGTCAGGCTCTAGGGGCGTCGCACTCCATGTTAATCATCAAGTCTCACTCGCAACGATGCACATTTCTTTGAAGAGTTGATTTCTTTGATTCAAGTTTCGTTTTTTATTAAGTTTAGAAGGCTAAAGAAGCTTGCTTCTGTTCCAGCATCCGATTCAACTGCTCCCAGATCAACCAGGAGAGTGCTTCTTCCAAGAACTTGCTTGAAGTGTAGGAGATGAACCTACAGTCTCCGTGCATCCAGTATCCCAAGTCGAAAGAAAGGTCAGCGATAGCGCAAAGGTGCGTCAGGAAGTGTTTGCTCCGCAAGCAGAGGACCACCTCCCGAGAGGCAGAGACGCCACGGGCGTGCTCATGTCTCGACCCCGCGCAGTCGCTTTCCCTAGTTTTTCCGACCCAGTCCTCTTTCGCAACAGAGACGAGCTATCACAGCGGCATCGCAGATGCATGTATAACTTTTGTCGCCGCCTCTCGGCAGATCCAGCTGACACTCAATGCCAGGCCAAGTAAGCGTAATTCGTGAACGTGAATCGCGTCAGATCGTAAAGAGTCATGGCATGCCACAGGCTCAACGAAGAGATAGCGCATCCGTCCAGGAGTTGTAAAACGACATTAACAAACAGGAAAAAAGCACAACAAAAATCCCAAAACCGAGTGTGCCTGACCTCGTGAGCCGTGAGGCTGTTGTTTAACCGTCTTCCGTTTGAAATGCCCGACATGCATGCCTCCCAGAGATGCTGTATTCAAGTAAATGAAAAGACCTGGTCCGGCCGTTGTGGTAGACAAAAAAGGAAATCGCTCGCTAAAAACAAAACGGATAACGTGAGAGCAGGTATCAAAAAGAAAATGTACGGAGAAGGAGAGGGGAAATGACGCTCGCTAAAAGGAATCAATGATAAAACGCCGTCCCATGCCGGTTGGGTAGTGATGTTTGCACATCATGTCGTGAATATCGCATTCGTCTCGTGTCGGGCGTCGCAAGGTTGGTGCGCTGGGCAACCTGCGCGGTAAAGGGAAGTGCAAGGGGGACTGGCCAGGTCCACGCTTCCCAGCATCGACAGAGAACAGGTGCATACACCACAGTCGAGTTTGTCATTCAGCTTATGTGAATGCTGCGTACTGTGGTGCGAATCCTGTGTCCCATCCGAAACCGCCGAAGCCTCCGTGAACGGCGCTTGACCCGCACTGCTGGGCTAGCACGCTCGGCAGAGGAAGGGCTGGTATCGGTGCCGACGCTGGGGGCGGGCTGTAGTACGAACTTGACGTGTATGGGCTGGTGCTTGGCGCATATGGGCTGGTGCACGGTGCGTACGGGCTCGTCGAGTTGTATGGCTGGCTGTAGGAGGGTGTCGGTGACGGAAGCTGGATCGCTTCGAAGCCCATGTTGCCCATGGTGCTCCAGAATGTTGGTCCAGTTTCACCGCAGGTAGCGATGGTCGGGCTGGGCGTCGATGGGACCACTCTCCATGTGTCAACCGGGGCTGAGTGCGACTGGTACTGCTGTGTTGGCACCCACCAGTTGGCTGAGCCGGGCGAGCTGGGGAGAATCGGTGCTGGGCGGACAACGTCGACGATCCTGGGAGGAGGAGGAAGGAGCGGGAGGAACAGGCCCATGATGGCGCTCTTGACGTCCTCACCTCGTCCCTCGAGTAGCTCTCCCGCACCATCCTCCTCGAGTCCTTCCAGAGCCTTGACACCAGTTCGGAAGACGTAGCGGTTGACAGCCTGGACAAATCCATCTTGGAGCTTCTTCAGCTGTTGCTCCTTCTCGGCCCATTCCCAGGTGCTGGCGGACACATCGACGGAGTAGATGTCCTTGTGGTACTCGATAAGCGCTTCGATGGTCTCCGGTGTAAGCTTGAATGCGACCTCATGTTGTGAAACCATGTCGACGTGTACGACGTAGGCCTCGATGTGGATGAGCTGGTAGTTGAAGAGCGCTTCTACCAGCGGGTTGTTGTCCTTGCGCAGTTCCGAGTCCGGGGCCTTTGGTACCATGATTGAGCACAGCGACCACATAGCGTTGGGTCCGGAAAGGGTTTCTGTCAGACACCTCGTGTGTTGTTGGACGCTGTTCAACGGACGCTTGACGCGGTTGACCCTCTTGAGGGTTTGTGTTAACCATGGCTCGACCTTGGAGGCTAGTACGACGTTGACGTTTGATCTGGGCGCAAAGGCCGCAGCCGAGGCGGGTAGTAACGAGATCGGCATGTTGTGTGTGTGGTATGTGCGAGACGTTTGCGATATTAGGATGGGACGATTTATCAAAGATTCAAAGAAAAGAACAAAAGAGAGGTTGTAAGAAAATGTCTCTGGCGGGTATAATTTTTCGAGAGGCGCCTTGGATTGAGGAGGAGAGACAGGGAGGGGCGGGCGAATGAGGATGGGGGAAGGCGAGGTGGTAGGAGGGTGAAGAAGGCTAGTGGTGGTGGTGGGTGGGATCTCTTAAGAGCTTACAAGCGACGATCATGGGTCGGCGTGGCCACACTTGTCGGCAAGGATTTCATGCACACTGCCCCGTTTAGCTGCACTGCGCATCTAGCTTGTTTAAACGTGCATACGGCCAGAGTCCGCAGCTGCAGGTCTAGTCGGATCTAAGCTGACCGACGGACACGGCGAGCGCGTTGCGCACGCGTGGATAGGCGGATGCGTGTGGTGCGCGAAGATTGCGATGCTCTCATGGCTGCGAGTGTTGTGCGAACGACTACTCGGCCATGCACGCGCGGAGATGACTGCGAAAGAGGCGTCTGATCAGCCTCCCCAGTGGAAATAGCAAATGTAATCGACGACTATGACCGAATAGTGCTGTGCACCAGGGCAGCTGAAGACGGCCTCACGGTTGCAGACGCATGCGAGGCCGCAGAAACCTGATCGGGAGGCCGCAGCAGCCACCAAACCTGCACATGGATACACGCCGTAGGCGAGCGTCGCAGCATCCTCGAGCCTGCAACTGCGCTTATAGTTGGGCGTCGAGCATCTGGTGTTGCGACATGACACGGATTCCAGAAGCCTTCTTTGGGCGTCCGGAAGCAGAGAGCACGGCAGCGGCTTTGCTACCCTTTTGGGGAGTGTGCGGTTAAAGGGAGGACGAGCCCTCTACGCTTGTCAAGGGGTTTCGCAGAGCAGGACTTTCACGGTGGGTGTAGTCGTGGTAGTCTTGGGCCATCTACAGGTTGACGTTGCTTGAGCCTAAAAATGGGCTCGAAACAGTCAGCCCAATCAGCGGGCCCAGCAGGGATGTGAGCAGGGTTCTCTACCGAAAAACCCGCGATCATGTGAGCCGCAGACGGCCCAGAAGTTTATCATGCCAGCGTCCATGGTCGAGTAGCTTCGGCGCCTGCTGAAGCACGATGCGAATATTCTACGACTCCTGCTTGCGCAATTGTGCCCTGATGACGATGATGCTGCTGCTGCGAAGAAGCAAGAGGATTGTCGCAGTGGCGTCGGCAGTTGCGCCACTCTCGCTTAGCCTGCACAGCCGCAGACACGTGCGCTCCGGCGGTGACGATGCCACCTCGAGGCAGATCAATTCGGCGCTGCCGATGTCACCTCTACAGTACCGACACAATCGGGCCTCATGACGATGTTACCCACAGTGACCTGGCAATAAACTGGCAATAACTCGCTCCGGCCGATACCACCTGTCTCTATGGGAAACGGTCGCTTCTGCGCAAAAGAAAGGCTGCATCGGAGAGGTCGTTTCCGTTTCAATCCGCACCGCCTGCCAGGCCTACAGCTGCGCGATTGGAGAAAAGTATCCTCAAGTGAAGCAAAGCGAGAGCATTACGCAATGCTCGGCAACCCCAGCGCCGTCCAGTCGTCCCATCTGTACGGACTTATCGATAGCATCCCACATTGCCATGTTTCAGACCTGCAAAGGCGACCCCGAGACCTGCAGCTCGGATTTGTCGCTGCGCCTCATAGCAAACGAATACGC